TTTTTTTTTACACAGATGGAGCTTTCTTTGACAGTATTTAATCACCACTGTGTTTTTATTTTATAAAAATGAAATTACTGAAAATTTTGAAATAAAAATTGGAAATTGAATACAAATACTGTAATTTTCCTTTCCTGACTGGCTCCATGGCAGCACAGCTGGGTAAGGCCCTGCCCACCGCCTATATGACCAGGACATATCTATACATTTTCAGCTCACCTCAGCCTTGGCATTCTGTAACTCGCCCTACCAAAATGGGTGGGATTTGTGCTGTCTGTCAGGAAAGGAAAATTGCGGTAAGCATTTGTAGTCAATTTTTCTGACGGCTCCATGTCAGCACAGCTGGGAATTAACTAGCCACACACGGGAGGGTAATGCTTGACCAATTTAATTTTGACTGGAAGCAGAAGCCAAAACACTCCTGCCAAAATCAACAGTACTCAGAGTTGCCAGCTTTAAACAATAATGCGCCATGAAGGTATGCATAGAAGTCCATGTAACTGCCTTGCAGATAATTTCCAGAGAAACTCCTCCTGCTGTCACCCAGGAGGTTGAGACCCCTCTAGCGGAATGCGCTATGACCCCCTCAGGCACAGGCGAACCCCTCACTCTGAATCCCAAAGAGATCTTCTTGACCAGCCACGAGGCGATCACTCTACTAGAAGCCCTCAGGCCCTTCTGAGCACCATTAGGAATGATGAAGAGATGGTTTGATTTCCTGAGATCGACCATAGCGTCCACATAGGTCTTCAATGAATGTCTGACATCAAGCGGATTTGAATCCTGGGAATTCTCCAAGAAGAACATCTGAAGTGTAATTTCCTGCGTCATGTGAAACCTGGAGGCTACCTTTGGTACAAATCCCACAACCGGTCTCAGCACCACTCTGGATGTGGATATCGTGATAGAAAGAGAGGAAGGGTTCTTTAAATCCTAAGGCTGCTTGCTCTGATACCTTTCTAGCTAATGTTCTTGCCACGAGAAAAGTTACCTTTAAAGAGAGATGCCATAGCAAGACAGGATGACTGAAGGTGTCTCACAAAAGGAAGTCCAAAACTAGAGGCAAGTCCCACTTTGGAAATATCAAAGACTTGGGTGGTCTCAGGCAGATGGCTGATTTAAAGAACTGAACCACTAAATTATCCGAGGCCCATTGCATACCAGTGAAAGCAGGGATGGCAGACACATGGGCTTTCAATGTACTCACGGAAAGGCCCAACTCCAATCCCGCCTGCAGGAATTCCAGTATGTAGCAGACTCTTGCAGAGTCTGGAGAAAAGTCATGATTGCTTGCAAACTCTAAACTCCCTGTATAGTAACATCCCTCAAAAGGATGGATTAGCCGCATGTCACAGATCCTTATCATCCTCACCAAATGATAAATACACTGCTGAGGATGTTACACAGCTCATTGAATTCATACACACAACTACTTCGCTTTCAATAATGACATCTGTCTTCAATGTATGGGCATTGCTATGGGAAGTAAAATGGCACCCCAATATGTCAATTTATTTATGGCTGACCTGGCGGAAAAATTCCTGAACAGCATGCAACAAAAACCATACAGATACTATCGCTTTATTGATGATATTTTCATCATATGGACAGAAGGTGAAGAAAACATAAAACAACTTTACTCAATCAACACTTTTCATCCATCAATCAAACTAAAAATGGAATACTCAAACACACATCAACTTCCTAGATAGCAAAGTATATATCAGGGATGACAAGCTTCACACCTCAATATACAGGAAACCCACTGACAGATGCAACTACCTCCACAGCTCAAGCTTTCACCCCCAACACACGAAACGGGCCATCATACACAGTTCAGGCCATCAGATACCCAGACACCACCGAATATGTTCAGATCCAAAAGACAAGAGATAAACATCTCAGGACACTAGCAGACTCCTTCCATAAGAAAGGTTACAAGGACAAAACTATCAACACCAGAATAAACAGCCTTGAAAACCCGAAGAGAAAATCCACTCCAATACAAAGAGACAAAAACCAACAACCATATACCTATAGTAACCACATACAACCCAGCACTAGAAGGGATAAGAAAAATAATCAAAGATTTACAACCCATCATATGGAACTCCTCAAAGAAATATTTAAGCAACCCCCAATACTGACTTTTAGACAACCCCCAAACCTCAGAAATAAACTAACCAGTAGGAAACTTCCTTCTGATTATGATATCACAAATAATGGAAGGAAACCCTGAAATAAAAAATGCTGCGAACTCTGCAACCAAATGAATCCATCAAAAAGTATCAGACACTCAAAAGGGATCTTCAGTATCAGCGGATCATACAGCTGCACCTCTAGTAATGTAATGTACCTTATCCAGTGCAGAAAATGTAGCAAAGGATCTTACGTTGATGAAACAGCAAGTTACGAACAAGGATGAATTTGCACAGACATACCATTAAGGAACATCAAGAATTTTACTTCTGCTCACCTATGGGACATCATTTCACACAACCGGACCACACTATGGAAAACCTCAATATCTTAGTTCTTAAAAGAAATTTCAAAACTATCCAGGAAAGGAAAACTTTTGAACTAAGAACGATATTTCTATTTGATACAAAAGATAACGGCCTCAATTTGGACATGGGATTACTCACTCGTATCCAACAGTCTTACGACCCACTCTGTGACTGTTGTCCCAATCCCCCCAGTCTTTGCTTTTGCTCTGTCTTATCTCTAGTCTAATCCTAGTTTTATATCCATTGCTGTGTACATTTGTTTGTGTGTTTTTTCTGTTTCCCCCCTCCCCCTCCTCAGAGATTGTTCCTTTTAACATTCTGCTAAAACTTTGTGAAGTAGTACTGCTTTGACCTTGAAGAAGGGGACATACCCCGAAAGCTTGTCCTGAAAATTGTATGTTAGTGCAAATAAAAAAAGTATCACAGACAGTACTTAATTGTTTCTGTCGCAAGTGCACTAATACGGCTACAATCACCTCAAGCAAAATGGAAGCCATTGCTAATGAATTTCCCTTCCCGGCCTGTAAGACTTAGTTTCTCTGCCTCTGCTCCTTGGTGAATTTCTGTAAGCTGTGCCTCTCCTGCAAAGCAACCTCTGATCTTGGGGAATAAACCCCAATTTTCCATCTGTTGCCTTAGCATTGGTTGTGTCTAATTTATTTCCAAACAGGGATTTCCCTTCCTCCCTGTTTGTAGGCTGGGTCCACCACCCAGGGCCTCAGCCATTGGGCTCTTTTGGCAGTTACTGCATTCAGCATAACTTTGGCCAACGACTTAACCAGATCAGTGGATGCCTCAGCCATAAAAGAAGCTGTTAGCTTCAAATTGATGAATGAGGCCAGGACCTCGGCTTTGCCCAGGTCAATCTCCACCTCCACTTCCGATTTCTGAAGCCAGACCTCCATGGCCTTAGGAATAGCAGCTAGTACCATCGAAGGCCTTCATGCCCTACTAGCAAGTGTGTGTATTTTTTAAAGGTCTACATCCACTCTCCAATCCAACACGTCCCTGAAGCTTGCTGCCTCATCTAGCGGAAGGGTTACGTGTCTAGAGAGGCATATAAATGCCGCAACCACCATGGGAGGCTCCTCTAAATTAACTTTCTCAGCCAACTTCGCAAACCGATTTTTGAATGCAATTCTTTTATCTGCTTGCTTCCACTCATCATCAATTATATCCTGAATTTCCTTCATGAAGGGGAAATTCAATCCTTCTTCATGCTCGCGAAGTACTTCCTCTGCTTTTTCCACGGTTCTTTCGCCACATCCTCCCACAGCAAAGCCTGCCTAGTCTCCTTCATGAAAGGTTGGACTAAGGCAAAGTCAAAACCATCATATTGGTAATCTTCCTCAGAGGAAGCCCCAGTTGAGGTGATAAGGAGCGTGAGGAAGATGGAACCGGGAAGGCTGAGGCCTGCGTCTGCGACGCAAACGCCTTTAGTATTTCTTCAAACACCTGCTTCATTAGCAAAACCATCTCTTTTTTAAAGGGCTCTTGCCGTTTGCTTCTTTGAAGCAATCCTCACATGCTGTCTTACCCAGCAAGGCTCTTTTAGGACATGCCCAGCATCCTTCTGCTCTGGGCTGCACATAATGCGCATCTCTGCAGTATCACGATGGGGAGTGTTGACACCTCAAGGCAGAACGGGAACAAGGAGTCTCTGTCCTATGGAAGCGTCAATGTCTCCTACTCCTTCCCGGGCTTCTTTCTTCTGATCGTCAAGAAGAATCATCGAGACCTGAGGAGCTGGGACAGCAGAGAGAGGAAAAATTAGTCTGCCAATATTGCAGTCCTTCAAAAATGCATCCATCGACATCTCCCCTACCTTCTCTGTGAGTGCTAGTCTTTAGAGGGGGTAGGCATGTTGGCATTGCTGCAAGATAAATCAAAGAGCCATAGTAAGTAAAATAAAATACAGCAGGCAATACACAGGACTAAACCTTGCATTTGCAAAGTATACCTTAGGGTAGGAGAACAGCAGGCACAGGCAGACTGAACAGAGAACAACCAGTGCAAGGCAGCAAATGCTTCTTAGACAGAAGCATCTTTAAAATTGGCTCTTTTAAGCCTGGCTCCCCCTCCCGTGATTGGCTGGGTGACTCTGCACATGCCCAGAGCGGACCTCCAGCGTGCTTTCCACACTGGCAAGCATCTCTACCCGGGAAGTGCCTGAAAAGTGCAGGGATCAAGCGCCGCATGCCCTTAGCAGCAGACACAGAGAACCTCTGACTACTGCCACAGTACCCTAGCTGCCATTGAAGGGACCAGCCCTCCACCAGCAGCCACAGGAGGAACTCTGCCAGTCGCCCCAGCAGCACAGAAAGTAGCTGCCATAGGAGGGACTCTGCATGCCACCCCAGCACGCCATAAGCTGGTTGTTTAACCGCCTCCCAATCGCCATATAAGGTAATGACGGGAGGGCGGCGATTCTCTCTTTTTGGAAGGACATCATATGATGTCCTCCCACTCTGACTGCGTGTGCGCGCAATAGGAAATGCTGGTTATTGGCAGTCCTCTCCTCCCGCTGACAGCTCGTGAGGAGAGGAGAGCCCGTGATCAGCATTACTCAGAGTGGGCATCTACACTGATCATCAGGGCTCTGATGATCAGTGTAGCCCCATCAGTGTCACCTGTCAGTGCCCATCAATGCCTCATACCAGTGCACATCAATGCCACATATCAGTGCCCATCAGAGCTGCCTTTCAGTGCCACCTATCAGTGCACGGTAATGCGCATAACAGTTCTAAACAGTGCCATATATGAGTGCTGCCTTTCAGTGCCCATCAGTGATGCCTGTCCATGCCCATCAGTGCCGCCTATCAGTGCCCATCACTGCAGCCTCATTAGCGCACATCAGTGAAGGAGAAAAATTACTTATTTACAAAATTTTATATCAGAAACTAGGAGAAAACTTTTTTTTTTCAAAATTTTTAGTCTTTTTTTAGTTTGTATTCTGCTATATTTCTTTGGTTAAAAAAAAAAAAAAAAGTCTGTATATTATTTAGACTGTGTGGACATTATACAGTAGAGTCTACTGTGACGATCGCGGCGTCAGACTCCCAGCCCTTCTTACCAAACTCGTGACCGAAGGACTAGCCAATGTAAAACTGCAATGTCACGTGCGTAACAATTCCACACCCAGCTGCACCCTGCACAACGATTTTCCAACTAATGGACCACAATCGATGTACCGGCAGCCTGAGCACGATTGTTACTGGGTCAGGTTAATTACGCAACTAACCCTTCACACTGCTACCACCTCCTTTTTGTACAGAAAAAGAGCAAACTCGGCAATATCAGCAATAACACTATGATGGTTGAAATAATCGTCTGTATACCACTGTCACCGCAGGCAGGTTATACAGAGGGTTAAACACACACAGTAGCGCTCTTCAGCGGCAGGAATTCATAGTTTGCATTAAAGGCGTTAGAAACAGTTCAACACTTTCAGAAAGTAAGATTTATTACTAAAAGGTCAAAAGGGTGCAATAAAAAATATTTACAGAAATATGTAGCCAATATACAGTATATATATATATATATATAAATATACAGAAAACAATAGCACAGCAAAGAGATAACAGAACGGAATTTAGAGGGTTAAAGTACTTGCCAGTCAGCCTTGGTGTAAGCAGCTTCAAGTTTCATAGGTCAAAAGGATTTCTTGTCTCTACTGTCAGTTTCGATGTTAAACAGGAGACTCTTCTTTTCTCTCTCACACACACCAAGCATAACAGCCTTTTTCTAGGATCTCAGCAGGGTGTCTCCCTGGAGCAGTGAAACCAATTGTCTCCCTTGGGGAGGGAAGTGTAGGTGGAGCCCTAAGTTATGACTAGAAACTCTTTTAGCTGCTATTATGATTCATAGCTCATTCTCGGGGCATTTGCCAGCCTGGGCACTAGTATATTAATACTCAGCCGCATCTGCGGAATGGTTAGAGATGAAACATGTCATATCTACTTGAATGGTTCAGAAGATATAATCTTCTGCTCTCTTACATGTGTCAGATAAGGGGTGCAACATACCAGGAGAATGGTCTCAAACTGAGCTGTCCGAATATGGGCTCCATGTTTAGGTAATTATGTCCTATGTGAAGATATCAACTTATATGAAAAAGTGAGTTTTTAAAAGTAAGTCTGTTTTTACAACCCCTTGGAAGGTCTTTTGAAGTTCAGTGAGGGACTTGGTTTACACTTTTACGATATCCCAGATTGCACAGCTACCAGACAGGGGGGCACCTAGCTGGTGAGGTTTTATAGCCAGGATGCCCTCCCACTGGGTTTCGATGCCTTTTTGAACTCTGCATCAAACAGACCACATGTCACTCAACAGAGAGGGAGGGAGGATGATTGGAGGAAAAAGTGAGAGAGAGATTTGCTTGTACAAGATGGACAGTCCTTTGCCAAAATGGAGGTTCGTATCCGTCTCTGTGTGCACGATTGCTACATCTACAAGCTGGTACATATTTTTAAAATGTATAAGCTCTGATGTTCTAATTTCTTAAGACCCCAAAATGCTAGTTAAGTAAAAACAGTCCCAAAATTATCTTTGCTTGGAAAGTAGACACTCCGAGGTATTTAGGAAAAAGCATGGTGAGGTTTTTTTTTAAGCTGTAATGTTTTGCCACAATTTTTGGGAAAATTAAAGTTAATAAAACTCTTTTTTCTCCATCACGTTTCAGGACAGCACCTGGAGAGAGAACACAGCTCCACCCATAGTTTCAGGAAACACTGCAGATTCCGCCTCTACCACCATGCCTTGTTATGGCGTTTCCTCTATCATCGTGGAAGCGCTGCAGGAAGCATTTGATAGGGGGGGTTGCGCTCTCTCCAGGTGTGGGGGGAGGAGGTAGCCTTGCTGATTGTGTAGCTTTTGTATGGTGCATCCCAGCACCTTCCTCCAGAAGATGAGGCGGGGGTGCTCCGTGCTTTCTTTCCCCCTCCAGCTCAGGGGAGCGGTGGCCAGTTGGGGAGTCTTTGCCCATGCGCCCAAGGGTCTGGAAAGGTAAGAACGGGTCTCCTTACACCCAGATCGTCTTGTGGGAGGTGACGCCAGAGCAAGTGGGCAGGACTTCTGGTGGGGGTGTGGCGGCAGTGGTTCCGGCCGCTAGACCACAGGGGGAAGAGGTGGATTGGTTGGTGCATCCAGGTCTGGGTCCTGGGGGCACAGGGACACCGGAGGAAAATTTAAAAGGACTGCAAGTCCCAACAAGGCTGCACACTCTGCAGGATGAAAGCAGGCGCCTCTTGCAATAGCCTAGCCCAGGTAAGGGGGGGTACAGGGGTGCCTTTTATCCTTACTATGGGGCATTTGTAAACTCAATTGTTGGTCTATTGCGCCTTGCCCTGTGGGTCTTAGAGGGGAAGCCTGCTGCTATGACACATAAGTTACTTCGCTTTGCTGCATGGTTTGGTGAGGTTGCCACTCTATGGTACTATGGGCTCACACTCTTTCTTTTTATGCTCTCTCTCACACACAAAAAGGTGGCTTGTTTTGTGGCACAGAGGGGTAGGGTCAGGGTCCTGGTGGATAGGAGCCTGATGAGGCTTTGTTGCTGTCCCTTTCTGTATTTCAGGCAAAAGCCACAGTCAAGTTGAAGGGAGTTTCTCTGTTTAAAAGGAAGTGTCCTTCCTGCAGGAATCTGATTAGGGATTTGTGGCCAAAGCAGTTATGTAGCTCTTGCTTGCGAACTACAAAAAAGAGTTAACAGAGATTCTGGGTTTGTTTTGTTCCCTGCTGGATAAAATGCCGGGGAGGCAGCCAGGTGCTGCAGCCAGCTCTCAGCAGAGCACCCTATCCAGATCTCTGCCGTCTACCTCAGGCCATGTTGGGGTTAGCAACTCAGAGAAGAAAAGAGGGAGCGTCCTACTCTCCTTTGAGGATTCTGATGAAGATGAGGGAGAGGAGATCGCAAGATCATGCAGATACAAGCTATCCTTAGAAGAAGTAGATGACTTGCTGAAAGCAATTTATAGGACTCTTGAAATTCAGGAGGAGTTTTTCCGGTCCACCAAGTCTTGTCGGACTCAGAAAAGAATAGAAGGACCCAGAAAGGGGCCCTTTCTTTTCCAAATCCCACAGAAGGAGACTCCCCTTTGAGGAGGATGAGTCTTTGGGTTTGGAACAAAAAGACAAAATTGGATGCGGCCTTCTAGCAGGTTTCCAGGTGCACAGATTTGGCTTTTGAGGACATTAGCATCCTGAAGGATGCAATGGATAAGAGGGCAGACTCTCTCCTTAAAAAGCTTGGGACTCTTCCCTGACCAACCTCAAGCCTGTGATGGCTTCCACAGTGGTGGCTAGAAACATAGAGAGCTGGCTGGAGTAGCTGAGGGAACATGTGGAAGCAGGGACCTCTAGAAAACAACTTTTGTCGGTCAGGTCCTCTGTCTTGGTTAACTCAGCCAGGAGAGCCATCTGGCTTAAAACATGACCGGGGGACTGAGCATCTAAGATCAAGTTATGTGGAATCCCTTTTTCAGGAGACTTGTTGTTTGGGCCAGATCTGGAGACAGTTTTGGATAGGACTGCAGATAAGAAGAAATCTTTTCTGTCAAAAAAAAAGAAACAGCCAATAAGGAGTGTTCATTCTTTTTCACAGAACCAGAGAGATAAAAAGCAGGGCCAGAAGAGAAGTTGGAGCTTTCAGAAAAAAACAAGAGGAAAGGAGGAGTTTTTTTCAGACCCCTAGAGAGGCCCGCCAAGAGCCAATGACTATTCTCTATCTGTGGGGGGGAGACCACGGTTTTTCTTTCTACAGTGAAAGAAGGCGACAAGTGCCATTGTCAAGAACATCATGAGTACAGTCTAGAGTTCTCCAGGAAACCCTCTGACTAGATTTTTTGTAACCAATCCCCCAAGGGATCAAGAGATGGCTTTAGCAATGACGTCACTTTTGAAGGAACTGATGCAGCAGGAAGTCATTGCCCAGGTTCGCAGGGAACAAGAAGGTCTGGGGTTCTATTCACAAACTTTTCTAGTAAAGAAACTCTCAGCAAAGTTCTATTTTATTTTGAATCTAAAGACATTAAACAAGTCCATTTGGTACAAACACTTTTGGATGGACACAATTTTTTCAGTGAGGAAGCTATTATCCCTGGGGTACTTCATGGCAACCATCGATCTTCGAGATGCTTATGTACACATACCGATAGCTCAACCTTCTCAAAAATTCCTCTGCCTGGCTGTCAATCTGGGGGTGTCCATTTGGCATCTACAATTCAAGGCGCTACTGTTTGGCCTGTCATCTTCCCCAAGGGTGTTCACCAAGGTGATGGCGGAAGCTCTAGAGCTCCTGAGGCTAAGGGGGATTTCCGTTGTGCCATATTAAGATGACATGCTCCTGTTCGCAGAAACCAGGACTCAGGTGCTGTCAAATCTTCAAGTAATTTAGACTCATCTGAAAAATCTGGGATAGCTTTTGAACCTGGAGAAAGCCAACCTGATACCAGCCGAGAGCATAAGATTTTTGGGATAAGTCATAGACTCTGTGCAATGGAAGATCTTTCTCCCCAAGGAGAAGATAGAGAAAATTCACTCGGCTCTGAGTCTGATTCAGTCCAGTCTGTCAGTGTCAGTCTAGGTGGCCATGCTGGGGCTACTTACTGCCTCCATTCCAGCAGTCCAGTGGGCCAGGTTTCATTCCCGTCATCCCCAACTGGACATTCCTCAAAAATGGGCATACTAGGAGCCTCTGGACAGACCTGTAAAGATCATTTCAAACATGAAAAAAGCACTGTGGTGGTGGCGGGATCCGACCAAACTGCCGAAGGGTCTTCCATAGTCCTTTCCCCGATCCAAATGGCTAAAGATGGATGCAAG